GTTCTCTCTCAGAGAGAGAGGGCACATTTAAGTTTTAAAATGAGAAATGGGAAATAGAATTTTGTGATCAATTGCTTTCAAACAGTGGAATGTAAACATGACTTCTGAGATGTTTAGTACTTTCACATCATCACAACATATAAACTTTTAGAAGCCCAGAGGTTTCAAATTAGACAGGAAGGTAAAAGAAAAACCCAAATAAAACATAGTATGAAACTCTAAAGCTACCCAGGATAAATACATTTACAGCTGATCATTACCCATATACCTAGGAAATATAAATGGAGTTAAAACTCTGGTATTTCAGAATCAAATTAACATATTATATCTGCCCAATAATACATATCTTAAAGTATTATATCACATCGATGATACTGAGTGAATAGCCAGTTTTTTTAAAGCTGAATCATTGTTCTCAGAAAGTAATATTGAAACCACAGAGAAGATATCCCTCTCCTCCTCATAATAAAATATTAAAACCAAAACAAAACAGAAGTCTATTTTGCTCAGAATTCCCACTTTTATCACTTTATCTTTTGAAGAAAAAAAAATAATCATAGAATCTCTTGTGCTGCCATAAAAATACCCAAACATACAGCCTAACCCAACCCATTGCCCACTGTGCTTGTTCAGCTTTTTTAATACCATATTTGAATGTATCCCATTTAAAAGCATCTATGATTTCTACAGTCTTTTTTTGCTTTCATTTCACCATGATAAACTGAAGTTCATGTGATTCACATATGATATGATGGGGCAAAATACACTGGAAATTATTTTTGCATCATCATGCATCTTTTCTGTAATTCTACCGAGTACAAATTCCACTGAGCAGAAATTTTCTTTCCAAGCAATAATATACCTCTAGTTGACAGAGTCATGTGAGCATATGAATAGCAAGGGAAAAAAAAAATTAATGGTGATCTGAAACACAAAACTATTTTTATGAAGCATTTTGATGAACACCAGCAAGAGTCATAATGTAATTATTGTGGCTATTAGGCAGTTATTTATGTCAAATTTGCTGCTTTTGTTGCTTCAGAGGCATTTTAGGATTATAGCTCTCTTGAGAGTCTATCAAATGTACTGGCAGATGCAACAAGTAAGAGAATTAGGCAATAGCTCGCTGCTGTTACAACATGAAAACTAAATGTTAAATAACTAGATTTGAAAATGAGAAATATAGGGCACAAAGGATAATGGTATAGATGCGATAAAAAGAAAGTATTGTGTAGGAAAATCAAAGGCAAAGCTGCCATACATTTTCCTGTTCCCTGTTATTATCTAATATTGAGTTAATTTCTTGTATTATAAAAGCGTTACAAAAATTAAGCATTGAAATACAGTATCATGAAAAAATTAAGACACACAAGAACAAATGAGGGATATAGTCCAGAAAATACTGTCATTGTCTCTTACTGTGTCCATAGTATCACAGTCTGATCTGGTCACTCACAGTTCAAAATGAAAATAAGTTTCTCTACTAATAGGAGGACCAGCACCTGGCTTGAAGCAGCATAAGCCAGTAACCCCTTCAATGTCACAGAACTGTAACCCAAAAGTGCAAGCAGAAAAGCATCAAAAGAAATGCTGTCTTTGTAGCATTTCCAACAATAAGCATAGGAAAAGGAAATTGCTGAGCTTTTCCACTATATAGTTCAAACACACTTGGAGATAAGGCAGTGAATGGTCACATCCAGACATTAAAGTTCTAGTCAGAGATGGCCAAGCTTTGTCTATAATTATTTTGCACTTGTTTGTATCAATGGCCTCATTCTTGCCATAAACACAGAGAAGAATAATGTATTCTCCAATGGAATAACAAACATTTGTACCCAAAAATATAAACATGAATAAAATATTTTAGGAGGATCATGACACCCATTAGTATCATATCAGAACATCTTGCTTAATGTCTCCATAGCAGCTACGGACACAGGAATGTGCTATCAATCACGTTTTGCAGATGAGAAAAATCCAATAAATCTGCATCTTTAGCCACCTCAATATTTTTCCAAACCATCCCCCTTCTCCTGGTACGCTTCCATTCCAACGGGAAATACAGGAGAAGAACAGACAGGGATCCAAATCTTCCACTTGGTTATTCTTCTTCTCAGTCATCGCTAGCACAGCAGAGATGCTCAATTTCAGGTACAACGAGAAACGGCACTAACCCAAGAAAACATTCCACAAATGCAGTACCCCTTTAATCTCATCTTTCCACTCTATTCACCTCATTACACCAGGAATTAAGAAAAAGAAAGATCAGCCAATTTCCAAAGGAAATAAGTAAAGGATGCCACATATTAGGATGCATCTCCCTGATTCAATCAGTGTTTAAGTCTTTCCCAAGGTGCATTTCTGAGCCACTCTTAATTCCCATCACACCATTTTCTACTTTTTTTTTTTTTTTTTTTTGGTGATCTGCATGACAACAGAGGGATGGAAGATAGATGCTTCTCGGAGAAGAACAGAAGTGCTGTACAGATGCTACAAGTAGTAAGCCCATCTAACAATCTCATGGGTCAGGATTTAGAGTGTTACAAAATTATTATTGCCTGAGAATGAAATCAGACTTGGGGAGAACTTTGTAATTGCTTCACCATTAATCTGGAACACTGTCGCAAACTCGTAATAAGCAAGGCACCGAAAACTTCAAATCATCTTTGACAGATGGGCTTAATTAGTTATTCTCATACAGACTCATAATATTTGCTGTTAATATTCACTCTAAAACACCCTGCTGGCTGTGATAATATTTATATGTTAATCCTGTTACGACAAGCTTTCGGTGCCAAAACCTCTCCAAATAAAATGACTGATATATTTCAAACTTCTATAAAGAAACGCTCAGGCATCCTGGTGAAGTTTGTCTCTTGCACAAGTGTCTCTCTAATCCATGAAATTACACCTGTCACAGTAAGTTAGCTTTATTAACACTGCTTTCTGATCCATGTAAAACTACCAGAAACACAAAAGTATTGAATCTTTAGTTAATTAACATTGCCACCTTTGCATTCACGTGATGAGATCTCCGATTGGTGAGAGTAATTAAACATTATGCAAATAGAGTTTGTCGAATTTCTAAATGAACTATGGAGGCAAACTATTTGGTAAGAGTCATCAATATTTAGCCATGATCCATTGTGTATATTTAGTAACATCAAATATGTTCAGATAAGGAAAATTTGTTTCCCCAAAAATATTGAGCATACTTGACCTGACTTCTTAAAATGAATAGCAAAACAGGTACGACTTAATTTGATGAGGAAAACAACATACTGCATAATACATTGCAAATATTTTACACTTGTTTACAAACAATGAGGAAGAAGTTCTCAAAAGTGCAAACACCACAAAATCTCAGCTAGGAACTCAGATGGAAGAAGTCAAGCCAGAAGTTATATGAGAGATACACACATACCTTGTCTTCACTTGGTTTTCTTTCCAGTAAAATCTAATATGTATATGAGCTCGCATTACTTTTAATAAACATGATGTAGTGTTTATACTCAGCATGTGAAAGCACGTGGAATCCACAAGCACTGCATGAAAGGTGACATAATAATTTATTTTTTTGGGTGTACACAAGGGGTCATTTTGAAGGCATGCCACTGAATGATGAATAGTGAAGGGAAATAAATTGCCAAGCTTCAATTCGCCTATGAGGTTGCATTATATTTTCCTCATGAGGAAGAGAAATCTCTGTATGGATCCAACAAGATAAAGTGTGATGGAAAACTCATTGTTGAAATAATCTTTGATTCTGATCCAACGCCCATTTCAGTCAATGAAAATATTCACACTGTCTTCAGATATCTTTGAACTGGGATTTTAAAGAATCTGTCTGACAGATTGTGCTAGACAGCAGGAAGCTCTGACCTTGGCATATATGCACATTGGTTCTTTGACCAACAAAACATAGTCAGATATGAGACAATATATGGTTTAGATGAGAAGATTCAGGATACTATAGGAGAGAAATTGTGTAGTATCTGAGTTATAATAAGGAGAAAGCAATTTATGTCATGATTATGAAGGGAAATTCTTCCCTTTTTTCATATACCCAGATTGCAAAGACATGAAGCTTCTTAGGCTTAGAGAGCATTTATTTAAAAATTTTAAACCCCATAATAAGTCCCCCAAACCTATAAGATTTTGTAAAATTTCCGAAGTAAATCACAGCACAGAACTTCCATGTTATATGGCAAGTTTTCTAATGGCAATGCCAAACACAATACATAGGCAGGCAGATTCTTACAAATATGCACTTGACATACAGTTCCAGAAACAATAAACATGAAGCAGCAAATTATATGAAACTATATTCATTGAAGCAATCAGTTGTGATTAAAAAAGGAACATCCAGCTGTCAGATGAAGGCTGTTTAAGACAAGTCAGCATCCTATCTAAGTTGTTGCACAATGGGAATGGAAAATGGAAGATCTACGCCCTTCTGCAGACAAAAAATTCATTTAAATCTCACCAATAAAATATAGGTTTGATACCAGGAGTATGTGTTAGTTTTGTCTGTAGAAAACAAACAAAAACCAACAAAGCAAACCAAAAAACCCCCAAAAAACCACAGTCCACCAAAAAAAATTCCAAGAAAAAAACAAAAACCAACAAATCCAAAACCAAACCAAAAAGCTCCACCACAACCAGCCCTATAATTATCCCTGCTATAATGCCTGGCAGCAAATAACTCAGATTAAACTAGTCATAACCGAATTCTAAGATATAAAATGTGCTCTTCTAAATACTACGTGAAAAAAATATTTCCTGCTAGTTTTAACTTCCTCAGAGTATTATGATTGAATAACACTTTGTTTCAAGTGCGTGTGGTAGAATTAGAAATGCAGCACAGAATAAAGACAGCTACAGCTTTTCCAAAAGCGTTTTCATCATGCCTTATAACAAAACTTATTCAAATCATGGCAAAACGCTTTGAAAAGGAAAAACAACCGTTATTAAAAGATAGACTGCTGGAAATGACCTACCTGTTTTCAGAGGCAGCAGATTTCCTCTGGCAAACAATAACAGCTGGTGCATATTTCCCAGTATAATCCATGCTCTCTCTGATGTCCCATAAGTATGGGCTGCTGGCTCTTACACTGAAAACGTTCACACCTTTCTTCACCTTTGCCCTAGGATGAACAAGAGGATATTTCACCAATTAGATACAAAATGTCAGCTCTATCTGTCACTTATTTCTTCATTATTTTCTCATTACTGCCCCACAGAAAATGCTACCGCTCGTTATAGTTCAACAGTATTACAAGGAAAAGAGATGAGACAATTAATTAAGAATTCCATATTTTGAAGAAATTACATCAAGATAGAAATCTTATTGAACTAATGGTAATTACAGCGTTAGCCATAGCTAAATTGCAGAGCGGATATGTTCTGGAGCACTCTCCTCACTCCTGCTCTTCCATTATCCGCACTGTGGGCACCACTGAGCGTTTTAAGGCTGACTTTTGACTAGAAGTTATTGTATTGGAGAGGAAAGTATCATTTTTGTCCCAAAAAGAAGTCAGGGTGTTGCTGGGGCTTATTTGGGAATAAGGAGCTGAAACCACCGCTAGGTCTCATGTTACAAGCAAAATCTACATTTTCTTCTCCACCCCTCCCCAGATTACTCAAAGATGACATTTCATATCTTTGCTCCAATTTTCATCACCTTTCTGAGTACTCAAAATTTCTCCATTTTCAGTTAATGCTGTTGGGTTTAACCATTCTATCAGCTTTGATCCCAAAAATACTTAGAAATATTCTTATTTTTCCAAAAGTGAGTGGTTTCTTGGAAAGTCTGTTTCCATGGACGATGTTAAACAACAGAAGCTGTAGGACAAAACGTTACATTCATAACAACTGGACTGGCTCCTACTGAAAAGTACTTTCTGGTTCACACATGTTAGCACATTGTTTCTGGTTTTGAATAATCAGTGGTTATATATATTTTTTAAATATATAAATTTTTAAAATAAATAAAAAACAATATATATTTTTTTAAATACGTGGTTTACCTCCTCTTAGCAGGTGTTGTAATCCCTAATTCTTTCTCTCCCTTTCTTTAACTATCTGAATATTATCTTAAGGCACTACTGAATTAGTCCACAGCTATATAAACGTTAGCCTGTTTACTGAGTTAGGAGTTTCTGGTGGTGTTAACTTTTGGTTTCTGAACGGGTTTACAAAAACAAAAAGTCCATTGTGGTCAAACAGCCTCATATATGAGCTGTCAGGAAATGACAGTTTAATTATATTTGCATAAAATCTCATACACAAAAATCCATTCAGTGTTATGGCAAGTTCTCAATTCTGGGCAAAAAACCAAAAAAGTATGTGGGTTTTTTGTATAAACAGCTGCTGCCATGCAGAGATGCTAATATCAGTAAAACAAGCACCATCAGCTCTGCCTCCACATGAAATTACTTGCAAAATCTTTGAAGGACAACTTCCACACAGATGTTTTCGGAATAAAAAGCCAAAGGATTCATTCAACTATCTTGGACAAAAACGGATCTATCGTATTTCTTCTACCACTAACTCAACACCAGTGGCTGTAATTTCCTTAGCACACCTGGAAGAATTAATACATAAAGGCTGTCAATTTGTGCTCAAGTTCTTCTATGCTAATTTCACAAAATGCATTTTAAGCAGATGCATTTACTGCTCCTAGACCACAAACATCCCTCAGGACAAGAGACCAATGGTCGACAGAAAAGTGGAAATTAAACTGCGTTCTTGGCATCTTAGAGAGAGAGACAGGAAAAGGCCAGACAATCTGGATAAAATATTTTTCAGCGTATGTCTTTAGCTGTTCCTATTGACCAACATCTGGTCCTGCCTTTCTGTTCCACCTCAAGAAAGGAAAACTGCTGGATGCCAACTAAGATCAATGAGAGAAAATGATTCCTACTTCACAGTGGAAAAGAGGGCGGCTCAGATCTTTCCAAGTGACACTGGCTATGATTAAGAAAATCATACCCACCCTCCTAGATCTCTAATATGGTCACTCTCTTTCCAATAGTTGATCATGGCTAATCAGAAGGTGCTCGTGTGGGATCCGGGCCACCGAGCTGACCTTGCGGATTTGGAAAGGCAGCTGTCCCGATGGAGCAAACTCGCTGCGCTCGGCTCCAGCGCAGGACGGTAACTGAAGCACTCACAGCCAGGAGCCACCTGCTGGGTGCAAGTGAGTGGCTGGCTTCGTTCCACAAAGCCAGGCGTGCCTGGAGCTGGCGCTGTGAGTTCGGCCCCTCCGGTTTGCCACGCAGGTGTAATAAACCATCGGCACAGCGCGCAGTGAATCTGATCGGCAACCAGTTGCTGACCCCACAGCCTGCACGTGCCCATCAGTATGTCTAAGATTTCTACATGTCATGGAGCCTCCCTGGAACATGTGCAGGGACATTGACCTTGCTGTGAGACATTTGGAAGTCCTGGACAAAGATCTTAAGCCCTTGAATTCTCCTGGACAACATTGTTGGGGAAAAATGAAAAAAAAAAAAGTATACACATTGTGGAAACCCAAACAGATGGTCGCCTTACGTAAAAGCAGCCCATTTTCCTCATGACTGGAGGTTAAGAGCAATTACTATGTTACAATTGCCACTTCAAAACACACAACAGATTATACTGACTATACAACAGCTATGTTTTTATAAGTTTTATTAACAAAATCGGTAGGGAATCAAGAAAAAAGCCGCCTTAGAGCATAGCATAGCCTACCTTGCTCTGCTGGCACATACGCAATAGCTTTACTGCATTGAGAAAGCTGTGCAGGGTCCCAGCACTGCTAAGTAATCAGACACACTGAAAATTGAGGAAATTCCTCACTTATACTTTTAAAAGCACTAAAAACCAGATTAAAATAAGTGTACAAACACAGACACATAACAGATACCATCTTATTTTCTGTCCGGATTCTTATAAATGCCAGAGTGATGAGGCAAACCAGAAAAATGGACACAAAACCAGTAAGACAAGCTGAGTTTGTTTATCCTTGACATTCACTTTATCCAATGACAAACTGCCATCCTGCACTGATTTCTAATGTTTCAAAACAAATGCAGATCCTTGTGTACACTCCTTGGGGTAACTGCAGTCTATGGATCAGGATTTCTTAGAAGAGTTTTTTTGATAGGTCTAATTTAGTAATCTATTAAAAGGCCCAAACCTCTAATTTTACTGAAAACAGTAACACAACAAGATTGTTGTTTTCTACAGAATTAGAGGTTAGGAACTCTTTTTGAAGAATCAGTTAAACATCCTTCTACAATTAGCAGAAAAGCTTCAATTCCACAATCCAAGGAAATGTTTTTTCCTCCATTATGTCTAGATGCTGTGTTTGCCACTGTTGGGGAACTGCAGAATTTTACTCACCCAATTTACAAAGGCAGGAGCACTTTGCAATTACCAAAGAATGACCTGGATGAAACCGGGTTAATAATAACTGAAGGTATGTTATTTGTCAACAGATAAAACTGCAGATACCCGAGGTGAAAACACTATGACTGCTGTCAGGGCTCAATTACTTTCTTGCAAATCTGGTTTATTGAATTGCCTGGCAGTCACGGGGCAAGCTGGGTCTTCGACCCTTCAGCTGCTCTTGAGAGTGCTCATGAGACAGCCTCGCGGGTCAGCCACAGTTCAGCCGACCGAGATTTCTCAGCTGCGGTATGCAAAAAGGTGTATGGCAAAGCTTTTTCATGGATTTGCTCTCAGTCAACAGTCTAAGTACAACAGAGAGTATGATGGCTTAAAACACTGCAGCTGGGCAGCAGCAAAGTAAAGTTGTTCAAGTATTTTGTGCCCATCACTTCACTTTGGGCCAAATTCTACTTTGGAAGCCAGGGGAGAAACAAGACTTCCTAAACATTTCAATCATGGTTGGTTTTGAGTTGTGTTTTTTCAAACAAGGAACCTATCCAACTAAACACTTTCATAGGTGTTTCTACAAGCTGTTATTTACCTCTGGATCACTGCTCACAGTGCAGCACATCAGTTATTGAGACTCATAAGCAGCTCACCCCTTGCACCAAATCAATCACGGCAAACAAAGCCCTTGGGAGTCCTCAATCCCTGAAAACCCATCAGTGCTGACAGGGTACGAATCAAGGGAAGGGAGAAAGAAAAAAAAACCACATAGAAGGAACTCCTAGTATCAATACATCATACCTGAAATCAAGGAAATACATTTCCTCAGTGCGTGAAGACAGTGATTCCCAATTCTATCTCATGACCCACTGAAAACTGTGTTTACTCCAGTGATAAAAGAAGCTTCTACTCGGCCAATTAAAATGTCGGCAATGTCCTTTCTCATTTATCAAAGTGCCTGTTTTAGCATCTCCCAGTTTTTGCAGTTTACAACCAGTTAGCGCTTAGCTTTCAGCCCATGTCATTGCTGCAGGCTGGTGATGGCTGTGAAATCGTTACTTAAGTGTTGTATAAAGTGGAACAGTTGGCTGGTGAAAAACAACAGCAGTACGGCACGTGTGCTGCTAAGTGCCATGGTACAATGTCAACAAAGTGTCTGGTTTGAAGCACCACAGGGAAGGGAAAAAGAGAGAGAGAGCAGCCAGCAAATCCACCGCAAATTCACCCTCAGGACGTGCAAGAGATGAAGGGGAAGGAGGATGCAGAAGCTGCACATACCCTGCTACAGGCAGGGCTCCCCTCGCCATGGTTTACTCCTGACCATGCCCACACGCAGCACACAAATACCACACATCCCTCCATTCCAAAACAAAGTGCAAATAAACAGGGAATCAAACCCCCAAACAGCTCTATAATAAAGACGGTTTAGACCCATGACATTGAATATAGTTTTCCATTACCATGAGCACTCAAGGGCAAAGATCTGTGGGAACCTTTCGTGCTCCTTCTGAGAAAGCGAGCTACTTTCAATATCAAAGGCTTGAAAAGAAAAGGCAGGCTGTTAGCACAGGTGCTACCACTGGTTATCATCCTGTTAGCAGTGGTGACTAGAAGGTAGCAGAGAAATTGTGTGCGGAAGGGCACGTTTTTGAGAGCTCCTAGGCACCTAAGCAACATCTCAGCGGGCTCTGAATCTGCCTTGTCACCATATCGCCCCAAAGCACTGCAGAAATAACTTGAGGTTTCTATTTCTGTTTATCTT